AAATTTATTCCTTTGTTGGAAGAATCTTGGGAGTATTGTCCGTCGCTAGCTGTGACGTGGCCAGAAGAATTTGATTAGGGTTCGCCTGCTGTAGTAGTAACACAGAAAAAAATTGGAACATCGGGGTAGTAAGTAAAAAAGGGATACTATTTTTTTGGATGGCATTTTATTGAAGGATTTAGGGGTGGAAGACATCTCGTATCAGGACGGATCAGTAAACGATCAGTCGTTGTTGAGTACAACAACTATTGCGGCGCTGTTGGAGACAGATATGATAGATGCTCAGTTGCTCGATGAGTCATATCAAGCACCGCCACATCTCTTTGAATATCAACCTGGCGCGGTCGTGCTCTGCTGCGGGGGGGGAGGTAATATCCTAGCCGCAGAAAGCATTCTAGACGTGAAGGTTGCTATAGAAGCAGAAGAGGCTTAGAGTGTGCAAGATTTAATCCAGGTGATGGACGTCCTAGATTGTTACGATCATTTCCAGGAGAACCGCTGTGCATCCAACTTTTGCAAGAGGTTCACCCGGAGGTAGTTGTATGCAACGTGGAAAAAGGATGTGATATAAATCAAGTCAGGTTAATCATGGACACGTTATTGAGGACGACAGCTGAGATAATAGTAATTGAATGCGCAGGTCCGTTTATGGCTTCTAGAACATGGATGGACACAAGAAATATACCCGATTGCGTCTCAAGCATACTATGTGGAGTCAGTGGATTTGAGAGCTATTCAAGTAAATATTCCATCGGGACGGAGAAGAACTTACATTTCGTTGGTTAAGAGAGGAAGGTTTCCTCGATCAAGAGAAAGGTTGAAGGCTTGGAAAAAAATCGTCGAGAGAGGTGGAGGTGGAGCGACTCCTTCTTTGGGTGAGTTCTTGAACAAATCTGGAACTTACTTTTTAGAGAGGAAAAAAGGAGAACGCCACATTTTCTCTTTTGGGGAACCCACCCTGGCCATCTCAAGGGGTCATATAATGGGGACGATACCTTTGCCTGAAGATTATCAAGCTCATAAAGCGGATTCTGGTGATATCAAAGAAGCGGTTGAGTTAGAGTTGGAGGACTTTAAGCAGATTCTTACTTCGAAACGTGATTTTGTTATCCCGAGAGCTCTTAGCCGGGGAGCAGCCGCTAATATATTGTCTAACTATTCCCTTCCACCTATGATGAGGGAGGTTCTCTTGGGCTTGAAATTTCAAGGGTTCTTCCAGGAACTTGAGAATTCGTTAGATTATATTACCGAAGGGTTGGCCGCTTTAGAAGTCACCCCTTCTGTAACCCGGAGCGCTACTAGGAGAACGAGAGTGGTCGAGAGTGTTCAACATGCGCCTGAGTTTGTTCAATCTCCACCAGCAGTAGAGGAGGAGAAGGGGGAGACTACCACCCAAGAACCTGTATCTTCTCCAATCCTTCCGGAACCCACGTCTCAAACGAGACCGGCACCTCCCACGATTTCCCCTCCGTTGAATACGGTTGAATGCAAATCTTCTTTGGTAAGCGAGACCCTGCGGTTACTTAAGGATGTTAAGTTTATCTTGAATCAACAACGGGCTGATCCTTTCTTGAAGTCACAGCTATCACCTGAAGGAACAGCCATTGGAGACTTTATCACTGACGATGAGGGCATATGATGGCATTATTCTAAAGGGGCGGAACCTACGCTAGCTATTCCTCGTTCGTTAGTATCGAGAGTTATGTCGTTGATCCACACTACTTATGGACATCCGGGGGTAGCACGAACTACTTTGCTTGTCATGGCGAAATTTAGTTGGGCGACATTAAAACGGGATGTTCGTGAGTATGTCCTATCTTGTGGATGTCGCCGGCGGAAAAGAGCTATGAGCAGGAAGGTATACATGCTTCCCGCTAGGTTTTTGAATCCTTGGGAAGTGTTGGAGATGGACATTCAGGATCTTCATCAGGTATCGGCGGCAGGAAATCGATATTTGCTGGTGGTTGTAGACAGAGCTAGTAAATTTATTTTCGGTTATCCTTTACCTTCGAAGGAGGCGCTAGAGGTGAGCAAGAAACTGTTGGAGTTAATGCTGACTTTTGGCGTACCCGTTTCGATCCGAAGTGATGCTGGGGGGGAATTTACGGCTACGGTGGTCAATCATTTATGCAAATGGTTAAATGTTACGCTTGATCATGGTCCGGCAGATTTCTCGCGAAGTCAAGGAGCGGCAGAACGGATGGGGGGATGGTTTCAAGAAGTTTTGTCTATTCTTTGCCAATCTTGGCCCCTTCGATGGGATCATTATGTTTTGCCCGCTTGTTGGATCCAGAGGGTGACCCCAGATCCTACGTTACCTGGGAACCCAACCCCTTTCAGTATTTTGTTTGGACGCACTCCCCGTACACCTTTAGATTCGATGACTCGACACATTGATGGAACCGAATTTAGAGGTGGTATGGATAGTTACGTCGCGGAGAAACATCAATCCTTTGTGGAGGTTCGAAATGCCTTAGAAAAGCGACAAGCTCAAAAAAACAAACAAAGAGGGACCGCCAATGCGGCCATCCAACGAGCCTCGGCTGGTAATCGGGTTAAAGAAGGGAATTTAGTGATGGTTTGGAAGCTGACAGTTCTTTGAGTTCGCAAGGCCTGCATCCTAAACTGATCCAGGATCATTATACTGCACCTTGGATAGTAACCGAAGTAACTAGGTTAGGACAAAGCATTAGAGTTCGACTGAATGGGCGCCGAATCCGAAGAAGAGTGGTTTCTGGAGCAAGTGTTAAGTTATTTCACCTGCGCCCTAAAGAATTGCGCCACGGTTTTGAAGATGAGTTTGCTCATTGGGCTTGGGGCGCAGACTTGGGTTTACCCGATGTGTCTGTGGCTGCCTGCCCTCTCTTCACCTTGTTAGATCGCCGGGTCTTATGGAAGAACGATCGGGTTTGGTGTTGGGAGTATCGTGGCCGATATCAGGACGGTCGTGAGTCAGAGTGGATTAATGAGGAAGAGGCTTACAATAGCTTTACCTCTCTTCAGTTAGACGTATTTCACGCACTCTGGGAAGAATATCATGATGACACGTGTCGACCTAGACCTCCTGAATACCCGAGCAAAGAAGACCGAGATGCAGCCTCTCGTGAACAAGCACTAAAAGGATTTCCCGGTGGGTACCAAGGTAAGACAGGCGTTCACTGATGGAGGAGGGCAAGTTAGTGAGCAGACGGGAATGGTTTATGACTTTAGGGAACCGTATTGGAAAGTGCGATATCCGGACGGAGATTGGGAGGAGCTTAGTCGCCGCGAGGTATATAGAGGGAAGATGAAGGCCGACCTTTACAAGGCGTCATCTTCTCAATGAGGGTCTACGAGCTTGGTGTCACGACTCAAGTGATGTTAAGGACCCTTTCAGGAGCAGCTGGATAAAAAATAAAGATAAGATCAAGAGCAGCTGGATGGAATCAAGAGCAGCTTTGGAAGGTCGAGAGCAGCTCGGAGGTGTTTGATTCTGGGCGTCTAGCCGGCATTCCGTTAGCATCTTCGCTTGATACGCGTAGTGCTGGGGGGATGTTATGGCGGCTGCGCGCAGAATCTACACAAAATACTATAATGGGCCGTGACTGTTCGATGGTTACGGCGCTAGGGGTCTGGGGGCTATATTCAGGAATCGAAGTATCGAACACTTCCCTGTTTGCCCTCTAGAGTGATCGAAGAGGCGGCGGATATGCCGCATCTACGAAGAAGAGGACAACTTCAACTTGTCCCTTCGCGACACGTTCTCACGAACGTTGTCAACAACCACCGGTGTTTACTAAACACCCCCAATGTGGATGAAAGTTAATAAAGCCCGTTAAAGTGCATATATCACCCGTCAACCCGTTAACAACATGTCTATCACATGCCTCACTATGCATGTTAACATGAGCGAACGGGTGATTTCCGTGTGGGCCGTTGGTGAGTAAATGACCGTCGAATTCGGCACGACGGTCGTCAGCAAGCTGCTACCTTGTTTTCCAGGATACCGTACGAGAGTGGAGACCATCACGGGAGAGACATGTGATCCAGGTGAGCGCCCCGCTCCTCCCACCTTGCCCACACTGTTCCCAGCCCCGAGGAATAAGGTCTACGCACGAACTGTACTCAGCTACGAAAGGTGAGAGAAGTCTACTTTGTATGAGCGCTTTCCTTTTTAGCTGTTTTAACATCTACAGCTGGAGCGGCGGCCCCCGGCAGCAGTGTCTTCCCCCCGGCGACGGTGGGGGAGGCGGCCGGGGCGCAGGCCCTCGCGGCAGGAGCGGCGGCACCGGTGGTGGGGGCAACGGCAGGTGAAATTCCCGTGAAGGCGGCGATGGAGCTAGATTGGGCTGACATGTACCACGCGCCACCCGAGCGGAGGGTGATGCACCGGCAGCAGCACGAGGTGACGCCTGCCGTCACGAGGTCGGGGTCTCGCAGAACCGGCATGCCGGGGGCTTTCGCGCTGCTGGCGGCGGATGAGCAGATGACCCGTTCTCTTAGTGGCCCTACAGCGGATATCGATGACCCAGCGTTGCCGGATGGTATGGTTGCCGACTTGGAGACTCCGGAAACTTACAAGCAAGCACATGCCGGACCGCATGATCCCATCTGGCGAGCGGCGGAGCGCAAGGAGATTGCTGGGCTTTCGGCGGCGGGGACGTTCGAGACGATGGCAGCGGGGGAATAGCAACGAGGAACGAACGTGATCACGGCCAAGTGGGTTTACGCGTGGAAGGGGAACGAGTATGGCCGTCCTGTCCGTGCAAAGGCGAGGTTGGTGGCTCGAGGTTTCGTTCAACGTGAAGGTATTGATTTTTTTGAGACCTTCTACCCGTGCCCGTCTGTCACTAGTATCCGTTTGTTAGCAGCTCTTGCATGTGAGTTGGGTTTGGACTTATGTCATTTCGACGCGGAGCAGGCCTTTGTACAATCAGAGTTGCAGGAGTGTGTGTACCTCCGCCTGCCGCAGGGCTGCGGTGTTCTTTCTGGTAAGATTGTTCGCCTTCGTCGTAGTCTCTATGGCTTGAAGCAAGCATCCCGCACGTGGCATAAACACTTGGTTAGGGGCATGACGAGTCTTGGTTTTGAACAGTGTGCTGCCGACGCTTGCGTCATGCGCTTGATCGAAGCGGGAGTTGTCGCCATGGTCGTTGTCGTCCATGTCGATGACATCTTTGCCATCGGGAAGAAGAGTCGGTGTGAGCAATTTGGTAGTGACTTGAACGAGTACGTTCCCATCACCAACCTTGGAGAACTTCGCTTGTACGCTGGTATTCGTTTTTCTCGTGATTTTGCTCAGGGAACCATCACGCTTTCCCAACAGACGTATTCCACCACCATGGTCGCGAAGTTTGGTGTCACCCGTAACAAAGAAACCCCCATGGCCGTTGGCGTGAAGCTTGAGGAGTTTGATGCGTGTGAACCTGACGTTACAGAGCCGTTTCGCTCTTTGGTGGGGCACTTGATGTGGCTTGCGAATCAAACTCGGCCGGACATCCTCAACGCCGTCCGTGCCGTTGCACGGTATTCTTACGCGCCCAAGTCCGTACACTGGAAGGCTGCGTTGCATATTGTGATGTACATTAGATTCACGAGTGCGTACGGTATTACATTTCAGCGGGGTACGGTAGGTGGTGTTAGCTTGGAGGTGTACGTGGACTCGGACTACGCTAGCAAAGCGACGGACAGGCGGTCTGTGTCGGGAGGTGTTGTCATGTGCGCGGGGTCCTGCGTGTCTTTTTTCTCTCGGACTCAGAAGAGCGTCACGCTGTCTTCTACGGAAGCTGAGTACGCTGCAATGGCCGATGGGATGAAGGAGGCGATTTTCTTGCGGTATCTCTGGAGTTTTATCTTTCCGGATGGGGATGTGGGGTGCACTGTTATCAAGGAGGACAATGTCGGGGCGCTTCATTTGGCTAATAACCCAGCCACAACCCCCAACTCCAAGCACATTGACATCCGCCACCATTCATTTCATTCGTGAGCGTGTTGACCGGGGGGAGTTCAAGGTCGTTTTTGTTCCGTCGCATTTGCAGCACGCCGACTTTCTTACGAAACCACTACACAAGGAGGCGTTTTCAGTGCACCGCAACTTTGTCATGAACCTTTGAGGCATTCTTGGGCTGTTCCTGTCCTGTTAATGTTTGGCGGCATGTCTTTTGGCCAATGTGTGTTTTTCTTGATGTTGTCTTGATGTTGTTGGGTCACTGCTAGCACTGCTGTCAAAAATCATGGGGGGGGATGAATGTGATGCTGAGATGCCATGATCTTCGCCGCAGTACAAGCAGAGTTCTAGCGGACGTTCGGGTTTGATTGTTCATTGTGTTCACGTTTTCCGCGTTTTACCTGCGGAGTTTGAGGCAACTTCGTCCTCAATTCTTGTTTGTTTGCGATTTCGCGTTTACCTGCGGAGTTTGAGGCAACTTCATGATACTTGTCTGATTCCTCGTTGCTAGGATAAGAAACACATTTCTTGTTTATTCGCGATTCCGCGTTTTTCCCGCGGAGTTCGGAGGTAACTTCATGATATTCGTTTGATTTCTCGTTGTTTGGATCCGAGAGTTGTTGCAGCAGGGGGGCTGTTAGCGTTTGTGTTTTGGGAGATGATGCAGCAGGGGGGCTGTTAAACTTTTATGTTTTGGGCAATGATGCAGCAGGGGGGCTGTCAAGAAGTCCATGTCTGGATGTTTGAGAAACGGCATAATAATTGGCGAAAGTTTCCTCTGGCGTCTTTGAACGCCGGGTTTTTAACGTTTGTCTATTTGTGCCGCATGTATTAGGTATTGATGACTGTTGTTCTGAACGATGTATTGGAGGAAGGATTTGACATATTTTGGTAAGACATGGTTGAGGCCTATGTGCTTCCGAAGCTTAGTTCAAATTGGTCAATGAGTTGAAACACAGTTTTGTGCGAGGGTTTTGTTCGAGGTATTTGTTGACGCGTGTTGCCAGAGTTGTCCGTCCAGAGTCTTTATGACGTGGCTCTGATGTAATGTTGATCTTTGCTGAGTAATCTTCCAAGGATAAATCTTTGTGTTTGACTACTTGAGAATGTGGTGACGACATTTTCTCGAGAGGGGTGCTTGTTAAGACTCTTAGTGAAGTTCCATAGTCGTAGGAGGAGTGGTAACCTGAAACTTGAATATTCGATAGATCCGGGAGTTGAGATGATTTATTTGTGGATACGAAAGATGAATGGTTTTTAGATTTGTTGCCGTTTTACCTGGCGTTATGTACGGAGGATCTCGTAGATCGTATCTCGTACCGAGTGGGGGGGCTGTTTATGTGTGTACACGGCAGGATACAATTCTCCGAGATCTCCGAGGGGGTTACGCAGATGATATAGATATGGGTATGATAGACTTGGTGCAGCAGGCTTTGCCTCTTCTTGCTCACGTCTGTCACTCGTTAAACTCTCTAATAATCAAGGAACTTGAGTCACTCCTTTGTGCAACACGCTCTCGACAAGAGCCCGCGAGCGTGATAACATAGTACACGCGCCGACACCCCAAACAGCTATCTATTGTTATTTTTCGTATCCGCCCTTTGCTCCCACTCTCATCACTGCTCATCGGTGTCTACGACGAGAAGAACGGTGGTAACAAAAACACTCGACCATGCTAAGGAAGATGGTGTTGTTACCTTCCTCGAGCACATCCAGAGAACGCGCGGGCAGTCGATGCCCAACAGCTCCGACACCTACCTGTACATGAAGCACAAGAAGGTTAGATATAGTAGTTAGTGTAGATAGATAGGTTCACGACGACGACGACAGGACAGACGACATCACTGGCATCACTCCCCGACATGCATGTGCAGGGGTTGGCCTGATGAAGTGGACGTCGTCCCCACTGCCTTATTATTAGTAGTTTTTTTCGTATCTATCTCCTCTCTCTGTCATCCTCATCATAATATTATTATTATTGTCGAGTTCTCGCAATAAACTTCTTCTACTCCCTTGGTGTGTAGTACCTCTGTTCTTCCACCCCGACCAAGCGACATCATTCCTCAAACAGCAGCACGACTGACTGCTGCTGCTGCTGTAGGATGCTTGTTGTGGGGTGCTCGCTCGCGGATGGATGGATGGGTGTCTTCATCTCAATAATAATTAAATCGCTGCCGCCACCGGCAGCCCAACCCCGCGCTGTCTGTGCTTGAAGTACTGTTGATGATATATTATGCGTATATATATATATATAGTTGTTGGTGTTTGTTTGTTGTTGGTTATTACAATTATTTAGGTTTTAACTATGGCATGCAGCCGCGCAGGTAGGTACGTATTATCAAATATGAAAATGTGAAATATTTTTATCAAGGTAGGCACAATTAATTATAGGTATTGTCTTCGTAGGTAGGTAGGTACGTACGCGTAGCGTCGTATGTATGTATGTATGTATGTTGATGTTGTATGTAGGGACCCATTTCGTCTGCACTCACTCCCTTTTTTGCCGCAGGACTTGTACCACGAATACTGCAGGTACTACAACAACGGGAGGGTCTCCGTGCGCGACGTCGCGGTGGGCGTGGACGTCATGTTGTGTACCCAGGACTACTTCTACAAGACCTGGGCGAAGACTTATCCAAACTTGAAGCTCAGAGCAGACGGCGACTTCATGAAGTGCCAGCTGTGCACCCTGTTCAAGGGCGAGATCTACGGGGGGGGGGCTTCCGGTGTCACCGGGGTGCAGGACCAAGCACAGATGGACCTCAAGCGCGCGGAATACCAGAAGCACTTAAAGGTGGGTGCTTCCACCGCGGCAAAGCTAATGCTTGGCCGCATCGGCCGCCTCCCTGTCTCAGTTGTGCTGTGATTGTTCTCCGCGATACATACCGTATAGCTCGGACGGGTCGGAGGCAAGGTTACCTATACATACATGCATGCATGTATGTTATGATACACTGCCCGTGGTCGACACACGTACGGACGCGTGCATTTTAAGTACTTTACATCTCGTTTACTGCTGCTACCCACCCACCTCGTACAAGAACATCATCATCTCCACTGTTGTTCAATGTCAGTCCCCCCATTATTTGACGGCCGTATGTGTAGTTACGACGGCCCTTGGAACTGTTGCTGCCATGTTGTGGCTTTCTGTTGATGATGTATGTTTGTATATACTCCGTATGAACGACATACACATAATATATAGACACCCTACCTACTACCTAAACAGACAGACAGTTTGACAGACAAGGTTTTTCTCTCGCGCGCTGCGTGGACAGGACGTGGAACTCGACCGGAACATGATCGCCAAGCTGAGAGCAGAAACGCGGGAGGCCCGAGCGCGAGGTACACCAATGAACAGGTGCTAATATCAGCGGATGGCGCGAATCAAACCAACTACGTGACCCCTTCCGTTGCTGCTCGGGCGCATGGCATCGACGACAAGTAAGTGGGTTCCCGCTCTCAGTTCCCCCAGCCTCGTTTCTAAAATATGGTGGAAGTAGGTACGGCGTTTGGTTTCTGTCTATCGTTCATTGCCTGTTCGGGTACGTATGGGCTGAGCTATTCTTTCTTGGGCTCCGTAACTCTTGATTGAGTAATTTTTGAAAAAAATGTGCCGGTTCACATACATACACACACACACGTCAACTTCGTCAGCCGGTTAGCGCGGTCGACGCTAATTACAAACGCACACACACGTCAACAAACATGCGCAAACAAACGGACTCCCCGTGCGGGGCCCCAAGCGCGGTCCTTGCTCCCTCCTTGTTGTTCTTCCTTCCTTTATTTGGGCGATGACAAGACGCCCACCCCGTGACTGAGACGTTAATTTCTGGACCCAAACTAGTCTCTACATGCCAGTATGGCATCCGGATGCGTCTGTCTGGCCCTCAATCCGACCCTACGCTGTATCCTTTTATTGTCTTCATTTGCGGCTGCAACCAGGGGATGGGCGGAGCGAGGCAAGGTATACGGAGTCCTCGTCGAGGGTGTCGTGATGGATGTTTCGTTCGTTCCTCAGGTTCTGGGCGGAGGTAAGCGTTTTTGTTCAGGTCGCAGCATGTGCCTGACAAACAGACCTGTCTGTGGCGCCTTGTCACAGGTTTATGTGTAATATAGGCATCTACGACACAGCTCTTTCTTCCGCGAGCCCTGTGCAAAATCGGAAGAGTTGCTCATGCCGATACTGTGTACCAAGCGTTGTTGTTGTGCCACACTTGAAATTATTTGTTGTGTTGCTACTACTCGTCCTTTGCACTCGTCGTGTCCTTCCAGGTACAAATCTCGTCGCCACGGCGCTGTACAACCAGCTGATGTCGCTGGTCGCAAAGTATGGCAAGTTCCTCGGAGACGTGAGCTTTCTACTGGACAACACCGTTTCGGAGAACAAGAACAACTACCTCATGGGTTTCTTGGCGGCGATGATTGGGAGGGGAGTGATGAACACCGTCACCTTGTACTTCATGATGGTTGGCCACACACACACCCAAATCGATCAGGTGTTCTCCTGGTAAGGAAGGGGGCTCGGGGCTTCCAGATAAAGCGATAGTAACGGTAGACCTGAGATAGTAAGCACGTCACATGCAAGCCACTAGAAAACACCGCCCGCATCGCCGCGAGCTTGCCCTAGCTTCTTCTTTTCTGTGTTGTTCAAGTAAAACTCGCCAGTCGCCTTGCCACTCTACCATGGCACACTCGTCCGTGCGGTTCGTTAAAGTCGCCTGTACAGCAAAGAGAGGACCATGCTTCGACTGACTCGCACAAAGTTGAACCTCTGAGGGCACTGAAGGCTTTATGTGGCCCTTCCTTCCTCGTCGTTCCTAAGTGCACAGCTTCTCCAAACATGTCAAGGGGCGAGACATTTTCACCCGCCAGCAGATGGCCAAACGAGTTCGAGGAAGCCTACAAGGCCGTCGAGGTGCGAACCCAACTGCTTGAAAATCTCGCCAACTTCAAGGACCTGGTGGCGCTGGTTACTAACCGAATACCGGGCATCACGAGGTTCCAGGGGTTTCACATCGTGAGAGAGGGGGGTTGGATGGTGGTGACGGTCAAGCTCAAGATGCACCACGACGCCTGGCTGGGCTTCAGCTCGGACGGGAAAAGCGTTGGGAGCGGGTCCGGTTTCAACCCCTGGCGCCTCATGCGTTGCAATGCAGTGCGCTTGGAGGGAACCCCACCGTACCAGCTGAAGAAGGTGCCCGACGAGATTATCCACCAGGTCCAACTGCGACAGGAGGCGTCATGGCTAAAGCTGCCGGCCGCCTTTCCTGGAGGTGAGTGAGATCGCGCCTGCCGAACGTTGTTGGTGCCATATATATATATTAACACCAAGGAGCGACGGCAGAAAGGACGAACACACCAACTAACCGTACTACTGCTGCTGTACTACCGACGCTGTTTGTGGGGTCTGTCTAAGCGGTCCATCGCACAACCGACTACTTGCTCTCCTGACATCGCCCCCCCCCCTCGGTTCCTTTCCGTCGTCGCCGCATCCTCAAATCCTCAGACTACGCAAAGCACGACCAAGTCAAGAAAGAACACCGGGACAGCATTCTGACGCTCAAGATGACGGGGTCGCGGTTGTTCGACCTCGATACGGAATGGCTTCCTCGGGAGGAAATGGACGACGACGACGACGACGTGGACGACGATGATTACGGCGGACAAGTCGGCATTGACGGAGGAGGTGGCAGCGAGGCCAGCTTTTCCTCCCAGGACAGTTCGGACGAAGGTCTCGGTGGTGACGAACGCCTGCAACAAGAAGGGCTACAACAACAACAGCGCTCTCGCTCTAGAAAGAAAAGCCGCTCCCAGGAGCAACCGGAATTTCCTCACGGGACGCCGAAAACGTTCGCTTTCTTCAAGACCGTCGGCGCACCGTTTTTGGTGGGGAAAGTGCTAGAGGAGAGGGTGGCGAATGGAAAACGGGAGGTCTCTCTTCATTGGTACACCCCTGCTACGAGGAGTCTCGTCGACGGGGCCGCGACGGCTACCTTCGACACTTACGCGGGAGGGGTGTTCTCTCCCGACTACGTCGAGGACCCCACGGCCGGCGGTAGCAGCAGCAGCAGCCGCCCCGCAATTCGCCCGGATGTGTCGTGGGAGGAAGTGGACAGTATTGTAGCAACGTGTCCTGCGCTCATCTCCGGCGGCAAGAAGATCCCAGCGGGGGTTAAACGGATACTGAAGGGGGGAGGACCAGACAACGACGACGATGTTGACAACATTCCCACGGCAGGCGAAAGCAACGTCAGGGTAGGAACAAAACGTAAGGGTCGGCCTTCAAAACCACCGGCCGAGGGAGAGGAGGAGGAGGAGGAGGAGGAGGAGGAGGAGGAGAAGGAGGAGGAGGAGGAGGAGGAGGAGGACAAGGAGGAGGAGGAGGAGGAGGACAAGAAGGAGGAGGAGGAGGAGAAGGAGGAGGAGGGGACGTTTCGGAATGAGGGCGCGGGTTTGCAGGAGGTGGCCCGGCAGGGGGCTGCAGAGGGGCGCGTGGAGCAGGAGAGGAGGGGCCGACACTCCAGGAGGGTGGAGCAGCCGGGAAGAAAGACGGTCGAGGACAGAGGTACCATGTCTCCAGGGGGGTCGACCCCCCAAACCCGAGTCAGTACGCGGGGATGCGTGCCGCGGCGAAGGTGGAGGGAGGACGGTGGTGATAATAACTAAGAACAACGACGATGATGGGGGATTGGTTGTGATACTGAGCTGCTGTGGCTCGAAAACGGCCAAACGCCACTTCCTACAGGGGGGGGTGGGTGCGGACGAATGTTTGCTTTTTTTTTTTCTTTTTACAGGACGGGGGGGGAAGTCGTCCTTGTTACCAGGTCCGTCTCGAGGTGTACGGTAATCGTACCAAGCTGGCCTTTTCTCGGAATAGGGGTGCCCCTACCGAAATCCGAAGATACCGGCGAACGCCCTGTCTCTCCAGGCGCAGGATGCTGTTGTTGTTGTGTCGTTTTGTTTTTTTCCTCCTTGTTGTCTCTTTAGCCTATTATTCTCGAAAAGGCCGGACATATTGCTTTCGTAAGTGAAGGTAGTGTTGGTTACCGATTTCAACTATCTCAACCGATGAGAATTTTGTTCTTGGCATTTATTTCCTGTCACGGTGTCTCTATGGTTTAGCCCTAATTCAGAATTTAAGGAGCTTACGATCAAAAAGCTGATGATCAGATCTGCAATGCCAACACGACATGTCCATGTAAGATACCTTCACAGGAAGAAGGCTCCCCACGGCTGCTGTGCACCAGACAACACTGCAAAAAATATATTAAGCTTATTGAGCGAGCGTCAACACATTAGACAGAAGGTTCCATCGCCGCCCATGCGCACAAAAAGGAGTCGGTACGGCACATAAAGCTGGCCTAACCAATTCCGACCTGTCCTTCTTGTTCATCACCACGTTTAGAGATTGAAATTAGGTTCGTTACCACGCCAAGCGACCCCGCAGAATCGGAACATAAGTTAACCCGAACTTTGTATCCTACGAATTGTCACGGAATAATTAGATTCCACTGCCAAAGTACGTTTACGATACTGTTACCCTTCTTAGACGCTACCCTAACTGCCCTTCGACTCCGCCACATGGTAGTCGTACAGAAGTTCTTCTCCAGCCTTGACATCTCTAGAGAGTTTGAACACCAGTACTTTAGATGGCGCGAGCAGCTCCTCAAAGGCCGGGTCTTCCACGTGCAGAATCTCTGTCCCACCCCGGCCCTGCCTCCCCAGACTGAGAGTTTCAACATCAATTTTTTTGTGTGCCTCCACGTTGGCATCTCCACCGTCCGAGCCGCTTGAGTTCATGTACCACAAGAAGCAAGACTGGTGAGGCACCATGTACAGCGCGGCCTTTGGACGACTGTTCTCCTCCTCTGTGCACAGCATATACACTTGAGAAGTCACGTGGTGGCGAGGGACACCGTCCTTGTTGATGGCAGACACCACCTCTTCTAAAGAATCATGCACTACGAAAGACCCGAAACAAGCCATAGGCATGGCGTCTCCTGCAGCCATGTCCTCCTGAGCAAACAAACCGAGTCCGTGGCGATTTGATGCCTGCCGGGCGCACGCAAACAAGGCAACGGAGGGGCCGGGAGTTGTAGAGAGATAAAAGAGAAGCAACTTTGAAACTACCTGCTTGAGGACTTGTGGATGCGTTTTGTTTCAAAGTTGTTCACGACCCACCCGAAAAACTCAAAATTGCACCTTTATTTCGAGTCCCATCTCCTTGGCGGCCATGGCGGCGACCTGCTGTTCAGGGGAGATCACATGCGGTACGTGTTGGGGTTGCCTCCAGGCCACTTCAAGCGCCACCTCCCGTGGCACGTTGCTGTGAGGGACGTTCATGGGACGTTTGTCCCTCGAAACCCAGACCCGAGGCGCCACCGACCGTGGCACATTGCTGTCAGGGATGTTGATGGGGCGTTGAACCCGAAGCCAGGATCGAGGCCATCCACACTTAAAGTCCTCTTCCAATTGCCCCACTTTCTGCCTCACCAACTCCACCTTACCGAAGGCAGGGACTAATGCCACCAGCGAACGTCCGTGATAGAGCGTCTTTTCGCAAACTGTGATGTCTACGGCTGCATCAGTTGTGAGCACCGCATCGTCTCGGTCGGTATATCTGTGGCCATGGGTTCGGCATGGTGACGCATCGAGGCGGAGAATAAAGGTGTGCTTGGTCGGTGTGTCACGTCATAGTAGGGAAAATGCAACTCAGATATGAGTGCGTACCAAGCAAGCGACGACCGTCACTACACGACACAAAACACAGAGAGCCATATACATTTAGGGTATGCATACATTTAGGATGACGTCTCGAGTGGGACTTCTCGTTAATGGTATGCGCAAGACATCCTAACATTCCGTGCAACGGAGGATTCATAGCTACTCAGGATACGGAAAAGGCCCATCATTTGCAACCCCTTTTTTTACGACACGACAAAAACAATACAGCACGATCACTCTCTTACCGTGTGATGAAGAACGTGGTCAGGGCGCTGCTGATGAAAGACCCCTCGGCGGGTGCTCGACAAGACCACTTCCCTACTCGCGGGTCTAACGCAGCGTCTACATGCCGCTGGACATAGGGTGGCCTGGATGCCCGAGGTGTGTGTGTCGTCTCGCCCTCCTCATTGCTGTTCCGACCCCCCGGGTTGCAAATGAACCTCTCCCCATCCTTGTGCGCGACGATGGTGATGGAGCTCTGGCCTCCGCGGCCCTCAGACCCAGCGTACGTTGATATGACTGGATTCCCCTCTACCCGAAGACCCGCTTTATTGAACATGTCTTTCGGGAATCATCGTGTGCGTGAGAGGGAAGAGGAAGGACAAGGGTCTTAACGTCAGTCACACCGTATTCCTCAAAGTTTTAGGAAGCCGACAACACAAGAGCGTGGCAGGTAAGGACAACACAGAATGCCCGAGCTATACGGAATTTCGCGACAATATAATCACGTTGCAGGCCATGGAACGCTCTATGTGTGACCGCGCGCCAAAAATCGATTCACGCACACCTGTCAGAAGGTTGGTTTCCTGCATCTCGCCAGGTACAGACAGCAACACGGTGCCGTGATTTTCCAAGTTGTTCGAGAGAGAGTCGAGGGCGGTCTGTAGACGTTGGTTCAGGGGAGACGACGAACAGCTGACGGAAGTCCCGGCCGGAACGCTGACATACCGGGAGAGGTTGAGGAACGCCAGCGTGTACCTGATGCCCAGGGAATGCAATCCATCCAGATCCCCAACGGAATATGGGCAGAATACGTCGATCGCAAGGAGCCTCGACAACAGCCGCCTGTGGATGTTGGTCAAGGAATATGGCGTCGTGTGCGTAGACGGTATGGTTGCTATCCCAGTGGTGTTCGGAAAGAAACGTGGCCATCAATTCCTAAGGGAATTGGTGTCAACGGCCAGCTGCTCGCAGTTATCGGTCTTACCCCATTATAGCTGCCAGCAATTCGCAGACGGCACATCGCGCGCACGAGGGCATACACTATTTATCTCACCTCCTTACAGCCATGTTGTCGGCCGCCACCTCGTTGGCTGTCGATGGCGGCGCACAAGCAGCGGAAGCAGCGGCGGTCTCTGATGCCTTCGTCCTGGCTGCGCGTTGACCCTCCTTGTGAATCTTCACCTTGCACTCCTGTCCGACCTCCGACGCTTCATCCGCGGAGTAGCAGCGTTGACGCTTGTGAATCTTCTGATTGAACTCTTCGACCTTCGACGCGGCATCCTCTCTTAACTGCTTCTCCTTGCTGATGAGGATCTCGGGGAACGACTCCATAGCCTCGTACTTCTTCATCTCCTGATTCAATCCAAAAACATCATTTTTACGGGGTGTGAAGGGCGTCTTGGGTGACGTTTCCAACATGACGATCGCGAAATAAGCGTGGAATTTACGGCGGATCGACCAGTTCGGTTATTCGTGGACGACAACCTACGGTGCGGGTTTCCATGATTTTCGGCTGGTCGAGGGCAAAAATATATTACAAAGTGAAGCAGTAAACCGGATGCCGATAACCTACCTGTAATGTCGGTTGCCACGGTCGACTAAGCTGGAACTCATTGAGAGGCGTGTGCGGTAGCATCCCGTCCGGCAAGCTCCTCGCGTGGATCGTACACGCTTCGTCAAGTGCGTGGTGGTGTGAGATGAACTGTGAGTACGGCTCGTACGCCGTAACCCTGCGGATGAAACTGGGATGCGAAAAGGGACAATCGGCAGATGTAAGTTGTTTGTTGAACAACATAAACAAGCCTCCATCAACAAGTGCGTTCCTTCTAACCCAACTCCTTCGCGGTATCAACAACCTAACTACTCACTCATTGAATCCTGGAGTCCAGTCCTGTCGTCCGACGAGTGCGGAAACGCTCCGAACGACGCGACCAGTGGCGCTCGCCGCCCCGTCGAGTTCCCTGAAGTCATCCTCGGTTAGCTTTCCAATCTTGAACCCGCTACAAAGACAATTGGGGGTTTCGGCAAAACACAATTGTTGGATGTCCCGTACGCAACGGATGGGTGGCGCCAACGCGGACGTTTGGTGCGTACGCAGCAAAAAAGCTTCGAGAGTTTTTGCAGAACTGCACGCAACGCAGCAACTTCTACGTGGGAATTTCCCAAAGCAACACGACTGAGGAGATAAAGATTACGCGGTGGACTGAAATAAGCGCACGGGTTTTCACCCTCTCAGAGTATACAACAAACAATGATTTTAGTGTAACGAACAATGTTTTTTACGTATTACGAAACACGATTCCAGCGCCTGCAAAAATAACCACGCAACAGCTTACGAGGCCATGCGGTAAATGTACGCGGCTTGATCTTCCCCCGGCATTGCCGCGAACTCGGGCCGAAGCAGGGCTTCCAGTGTAACGCGTTCAAAATGCAGGCCGTCCGGTGAGGGGTTGAGGTCGCGATGTCCGGCTGGGCGTCCCTCAAGCACCGTGACGTCCTCCAGAGCGTCGAGTCCTGCCTGCTTGAGGGCTTCAGTCGCATTTGCAACCGACTTCTTGGCCTGCGCATACGCGGAAATGAGTGTGGTTTCGAAAATGGGATTATTGCATTCTCTGACAATACCAACATGCATGCATGGAAGGAATAATTTTATTTGAACATTGAGTTGCTTCCTGTTTGACCCGCCAAGTTTCGTACAGTGATCGTGCAACATTTTCCAAGTTCTCAAGAATTGTTAAGTTGGTGGAGGGTTTACAGTGTCCAGGTACGTGCGTGAGTCGACCTAACAAGACGGATGACTGCACTACGTTACGACGACAAGTAAGTGATGATATACAACCCTCGTCTCACATTTTCGCGCGAACCACCGCAACCAGAGGCCAAGCCCTCTACCGCGAGAGGCTTGGACCTGGTGTTACTGCACCCCTGCAGAGCGGCCTTGGTTGACATAACCCGATCGAATAACGTGGTCTTGACAACTCCTTCGGTGATATCCTGCGCACCTGGGTATGGAGTACGAAGGTCGAAAGCGGGCCAGGGCGAGTGTTTGCGGTATCTATGATGGGGGGGGTAAGTGCGTTTCTCTTTTTGCTGCAAAATGCATGCCCTACATACAGCAGTGCATACGCTGTTTTGTGCGTTCTGGGTAGAACACAAAGAAAGGGCATCGCTGGACTCCTCGGCACAACCAAATAACCGGGACAACCGGACATGCCAAATGCTATGGGTGGGGCTAAGTCTAGGGTTGTACGTTCATGTCATATGGTCCATTGAGTTTCAGTCTCCTCGTGTTCTTTTTTCACGCACACACACAGCAGACTTGTCTACTCTCACGCTCCTTGGTGATTAAACAAAGGCCGCCTCTCTCTGTGCCTGGCATCGGCGGTCCTGAAATGAACACATAGATAGTAAGGTGCAAACCAAACCCAGTATGTCGACAACAAACACAAACGGTTTCTGCAGTTCAGGCTGCCGGAACGTACACGCTGCCATGGAATAATGTAAGGCTGAAACAACCAACCCATCTGCACACACTTACTTGCAGCTATCAACCTCTCCGTATCCGCGTCCACTGCACTATGAACATCAACGAGCGGGCAGATCTCTTGTCCTGAATCCTTGGCGGCGTTGAGTGCAACAAGAGCTGCGCATCTGTTGCAGTACAAACAAAAAACACAGCAAGTGGAGGCCTTTACTTGTCCTGGCAGGAACACGTGGAACTCGTTGTCCTGTCTTGTTCCATCATGACATGGGGACTATTCCTAGCCTCGAGCGAGCGCGAACACCGCTTTCTTCCCGGCCCTCTCTCGTTACTGCTGTCACAAGTCGACTCAACTGTGACTCGCCAATATAATTGCTACAACTTGATCCCCGAAAAAAATGAATAACTTCAATCATGCGAGTGTGCTGCCGCTTCGAGGTCGACGGCCGATCGATAGGGACGGCGCAGTCCTTGTCGCGAGAAAAACAACGGCAGCGACTGCCGCCGGTTAGTGGGCGATTCGTTTCTTTTGCTGTGGGCCACTATACCTACCTTCTTTTTGTGGGAGCCCGCTTTTTGAGCCACGGTGGTAAACGCACTGGTTAGTAGACTGGCGCCAAGTACAACACGGGGCGAACACTCTAAAAATACACACACCCATATTCCACCTAATGCATGCACCATAGTAGATACCTGTGGCGCCCATCTATGACTCTCAGGGGCTTTGTCTTCGCCGTGGCCTCGTCCAACACACCATTGTCACCAGCAAGTCGGCAGGCGATGATACGTGTGTCAACCCAGCCGTTGGACATGATGCTCTGCCTTATCCGTGCCACGCCGTCAGGACGCAATGGTCTCCCTCTAAACGACAGGTCCAGGTTACAAGCCGGAACCTTCCAACGGCCTTGAAACGATTGGTCAACTAGCGAATTCATGCCTGCGAGGAGGGGGGCGCACGGCAGCACACAGGATAACGAACATTGCAGGAGACGGGGGTACAGAGCGGCAGACTTGTCACTGGTCGTAAAGGGCCAACGGGAGCGCCTGCAATAATAATAATACTCCGTCAATAAAGCTATGGCAAGAGCAGAGAGATGAGGTGGTCCAAGCACAAAAGTAGTCGCAACCAAAGGCGGTAGAGATGCGCACGACTATCTGCGCGCTAGTTGTGCCACAAACACTTACTGCTGTAGACTATACTCTGGCGGAACAGCTGATCCTTTGATATAAGTCACGGAGGGGGCAATCAATGCAGTAAGACCGACCACGAGTTGGAAGGGGCAGCGTTGGTGTGGCTGTGGATTCGCTCCAACGTTATCAATCATGTTGGCGTCAGAAAGACGCCGGCTGTTACAAGTTCAACAAGTTCAACGTGGACCCGGTAGCACCTGTGAGAACAGACAGCTTTTATGTATTTTACGACAAATGAGAGACAACTGCTTATTATTATTTGACTGCGGCGGAAAAAAAACGAGGTAACTCGATTGACGCACGGCGTTCGGTGATATCGCACGGTATCACCGATACCGAGCCCCTGTTAAGTGGCTCCAGGGCCCTCGCTGAGCAGGAGGTACTTCGCGGTATCGTGAACGGTGTCTTAGTACAGCAGTAGGCGTCATGCGCGAGACTGCTGCTGTCGGTTTTTTTTTTACTCAGTATCGCACGTACCACCTGTCATACCGCATCCACCCACTCTGTGCGATGAAAATCCAAGAACCATACCTGATGGGACTGCCTACCTCCAGACTGTCGGGGAGTGAGTGGTGACTGCACTAAGGTGGTCGTGCCAACGTGCCACGCCTCGATGCTAGGGTAGGGCCCCTCTCTCTTTCCATCCCTCTCTTTCAAGTACAAACACCGAAAGACAAGGACGTCTCCTTGGGCAAACTATCCATCTGCCTTGCGAAAGAGTGTGCTCTCTCTCTCTCCACTCACCGGCACAGCAGTATGAACTAAAGGTGTGCTCCCAGGTTGCTCGAAAGACCCAGCTCGCTCAACTGGATACACCCTGTCCGCTGCTCTCTCGGGTGCCGAGTGCCGAGCACGGCTCGGGTGCTTGACGAAACAAATCAAATGTTCCTCCGAGTGGTTGCTTGCTGCTTGATGAGGTGACGTGGTGAGATCAGGTCCTGCTGCTGTCCAAGGAGTCGATTCAGATCAGACTGGGGGCGAACGGAGCAGCACGGAGAGGGCGTTGGGATGCTGCTGCACTATTTACCTTACCTCGAACAATGCAACCAAATACATCAGATCATCACCCGTTAGCAGTTTACGGCGGTGGCCGCCCGGACGAGGCTGGGGACACACACACGTGCGTGCCTTTAACTAAATAAAATATTCCTCCGAGTGGTTGCTTGCTGCTTGACGAGGTGACGTGGTGAGATCAGGTGCTGCTGTCGAAGGAGTCGATTCAGATCAGACTGGGGGCGAACGGAGCAGCACGGAGAGGGCGTTGGGATGCTGCTGCACTATTTACCTTACCTCGAACAATGCAACCAAATACATCAGATAGATCATCACCCGTTAGCAGTTTACGGCGGTGGCCACCCGGACGAGGCTGTGGGGACACACACACGTGCGTGCCTTTTTTGTTTATTCGTTCCGAGAAACGGAAAGAGCGGGTGGGTCTGGTGGGTACAGCAGCGAGCTCTCTCGGATGTGCGTGCACACTACAGCCGAAGAGCAGCTCTACCGCGAAGGAACGAGCCCCCGAGGAGGGGAGGAGTGCTCACGTTTGGATCCTCACCACATCCATGTATGGGTGGCCTGTACGGATGTGCAGCAGGTGCAGGTGCGAGGGTGTGTGTTGTCGGGAGGGGAGAGAGAGGGTACGCGAAACACACACACACGACACCACGTTTTCTTGCTATTCTCTAAAAAAATACAATTGATCACCGATGAGTTGCTTCTCTATCTCTCGGCGGACCCAACGCAACGGCCAAGCTAAGCTGACCCCTCAGTACATGCCAGGGTACGTGCTCACCGCCACAGAAGCTCGCCTGAGGCCGTTTGGGGCTGCTCCAGAAACTTACTTTTTTGGAGAGGTCTTGGGAAAGGCGGCAATCAAAACGGTGTTTTCGATTCCAATCCTCAAGTCAAAAGAACGATTTACTCCAACCACGAGAAAATTCTCAAACCGATGTTCATAATTCAAACCGAAGTTCGACAATTCTCTGTTTACAGTAGTGCGTAACACCCGCGGTATGACTGACTGCTGTGTTGTTTTTCTCAAGATAGATGAACAGAAGCAATGAACATTTAGAAAAAACTATTTTCTATGATAGAGATGGTTTCGTTGTGTCATATTAAGAAAAAAAAAAATGTCGGGAGGAACTTGGGTAGGAAACACCGTCCAGAGGAACGATCCTCCAGAACAATCCTCCCGACGATTGTTACGGCACTACCCCTCGAGCATTTTTGTTGAAGGTTTTCACCCCAGGGGATTTTTCGTCTGCAAAAAATCTAGAGGAAAGGTCACACACATCCTTCTGGGTGATATTATTGGAAAAAAAAAGGAATTACTGAACCGGGGGCGCTCCAGAGGAATGTACGTCAGATTCCTCCAGAGGAGTATTTTTCGATTTTTTCCTCAGGAGGAGATATATAAAACACCTGCCGCGAGGCCGCTCCAAAGCAAGTGTACGACACGACCTGCTGTTACACTGCGCTTAGAGGGGCTGTCTGCACCCTACCCACCTAACATTTGTAGCTGGAAGACTCTGCTCGCCGGCAAGCCTAAAAACGGGCCGTCTCGTGGGGTGCAAGGGAGAAAATGCCGATCGTGACAAGCGGTGACCGGACTGACTGGCGATCAGAACAGAGGGCTGCGCGGCTTTTTCGGGCTGTTCCGTGCGGGAGAGGCTAGTTGCATCCTTTTTTCTCCACACTCACGGTACCCCAACGCATCTAACCTTGTGCGAGAAAGATGGCGGGTAGAGCTACCTCCCGTCGCGTGGCATTGCTTATGCTGTTGCTTCCTCCTTCGAAGAGTTATCGCTTCAAAACTAAACTGTGAGCAGACATTCGGCGCGAACTTGAACTAACCGCTCTCTGACGTGGATATTTTTAGGGTCAACCAAAACTTTTTTCCCTGTACGCGCGATACCCCACACGGTAGCAAACCTTGGGCTTGTAATATGGAGCAGAGAGGTACCTCCCGCCGCGTGGCGTTGCTGCTGCTGCTGTTGCTTCCTCCTTCGGAAAGTTATCGGTGGATAATATAACCAAACCCGGCGCGGCGGTCCAAAACACCGCTCGCAACCGTTTTGGCCTTTTTGCTTCAACACACAACCTTTTTTTACGGCGTGTATTCGGCAACTCATGGCGCCAAACCTTGGCATTCCCAACAGCCCATGTTGCCAGCTCCTTCCGGATACCGTTCTTGAGGCAACTCGTTACGTACTTGGCGAGATATCGGCTAAATTAGCACGGGAACAGAAGAGGGCAAAACCCACCCGAGAAGAATGACCGCTCGCTTCGCTGCTGGCTCTTCCCCTGGCGCCAGGTCTTACATATTTTTCGCCTCTTCCTTCAGTTTGCCACGATGATAACGCAAATTATCCCTGGAGGACTCTGCAGTATTGTTCCTCGACGATTTGTTGGCCATTTTCCCTCTAGGGCAGTTCCTTCTTATTTATTGCCCTGGAGGATGCTGATTCTTCCCCCCTCTGAGGGTTTGTTCGATTTTGTCCCTCGGAGGAAAAATAAAATGTTGTCCCCCGAGGATACGCGTCCTGCACATCCTCGAGAGTACCTTAATTTCAGGTGATACTCTGGGGGGATGCTAAATCTTCCCCTTCTGAGGAAATTGCCCTTTCAAATCCTCGGAGGACACTTACTTGTTGCCCACCCTCCGAGGAATACGTCAGACACGTACCCCCCAGAGTAACGATTTCTACTCGATGCTCTGGAGGTTGCTGTGTCGTTAACCTCGGGAGGATTTTTGTTTTTACATCCTCGGGAGAGGCTGATTGTCTCCCCTCCCGAGGAAGTTTTGGGTTTTTCCCTCGGAGTATATCGCACGCATACCCTCTAGAGGATTAAATATCCTCCGAGGATAGTAAATCCTCTAGAGGACAATTTTTCCCCAGAGGAATATGGGTGCGTAGCCATTTGTCTACCTGTGCCGACTCCCCCGACCGCCTTTTGGCCAATTTTGCTGTGTGCCCACCACGGCGCCTTCCTCCGCGCACACCTGCTGCCTGCGCTTCCTCTTTGTGTAGAGCGGCACGGCCGAGGAACCATCCTCGGGCTGTGTCTCGCAGCAGCACCGCTGCATGTATTCTGGAAAGTTTTCATGCTGACTCGTGCAGCCCGTGGCCTCTGTCGTCGTCGGAGTTTCTTTGTTTTGTGCTCTGTGCTGCTGTGATGGAGCCAAAGCCGCAGCCGTGATATTTTTCAGCTGATAATTTCCTTCCCCAGAGCAACAGACATCATCATGCCCAACAAACAGAGGACATTTAGAAACCAACACCCTCCGGAGGAACAACCCGCCGGAAGAACCCTCCCGACGATTGTTACAGCGGTACCCCGCGAGCATTGTTTCAGGTGCTTTCATCCAGCGGATACATCTGTTTGATTGCCCCAAGCGTAGTGCTGGTGGGATGAGCAAGGCTGCGCCGTTGGTAGGCGTGAAGAGATGTTAAGATGGTAAAGTCGTTGATTAGGTTGCCCTTGTCGTAAGGGGAACAGGAGAGAGAGTGGCAACGGGAGGCAAACTCCCGTGCCGCACACCAGTAGCAAGAAAACGCAGAACTCGGAACACTATGCAACAGGTCAAAGATACAGAATTCTAGACATGTCTTAAGATACCCCGAAGATCTATGCCCCTTGCTGCCACTTTAGCTCCATGGTAGAAACCATCATACATGAGTAACTACAGCAGTAGCGTATTCGTAATGATGAAATAATCAACCTCACGAACACCCTCCCTGAT